GTTATCATTTTGTTATTAATTAAGAGATATAAAATTGCTTTTTCTTATGTCACTATGCAAGGTATTCTTTATAAAAAATTTTTTTTTATCGTAGTGTCTTTAATGTTATATTTTTTATTGGATTAAAATTAAGATTCTTCAAACACTTCAAAAATTATTTTAAAAAAAAGCTAAGAGCTAAAAAACTACCACATCGTTAATTTTTGAATGTATTTAAATATGGTTGCCAATAAAAAAAAAGACAAATAAATAACTCTGTCTAGAATTCAAGTTAATTTTAGTCACATTTATTCATTTTACTTTACACTTAAAAATTTTAATTACTAATCACGACATTCTTATCTTTGTGCCTTTATTTTAGTTACGTGTTCTACGAGCAATACTATGCAAAATGTAAACAGAGACTTTCTACAACGTTAAAGACAATGTTTATTTTTTTTTAAGTTCCCTTTTTAATTGTTATATTGTCTTGTATTAACTTTACACATATATATTTAGTTCTCTTAACACACATGCATACTTCTGGTTGCGCGCTGCTCTGCGAAGTAATTTCGTATTAGTCTGCCTACAACACGTACAGCTAAAGCAACTCACTGTACACATTCCATAATATGTAAGGAGGCTCGGCGTTCGATGCCTTTCATTTTCAGCTGCACTTAAGCATTTGTATTATAGTCTGTAAATAAACAATTTGTTACTTTCTTACATAGTTACAGAATCGTGTCTTTTTTGTTACTGCTGCCTCGTATACTTTCGGGTGCAAGAAGGGTAGTTATTCACTGACCCTATCTAACATCACTATCCCAAGCTGCTAAACCTCAGCCACGCACATCGCAAGACAGTCCACTACAGTCAATGTTAAACAAACTCAATAATAAAGTGAACTTTTTTAGTAAATGATGATATACGTTTTTAATTGCAGTGTGGTTACGAATCACTTACTTTTGGCATACATTAAGGACAAAAAAAATTTTTGTTAGGAATTTATTCAGTTGTAAAACTATGAAGTATTTAAAAATGTTGATATAAAGAATCAGCTAAAGTTTTCTCGAAAGGATAACACTTGTCAATGACAAAAATTGGTTAAAAAATAACTATACAATAAACTGTAGAAATATAAACTGTAACTAGTAAATAAAATCAGTAAGTGCAACAATGTATTTATGCATTTTCTTTAATAGCAAATTGATTTTGTACTAACCCATTTTTATATCTTCTCCGTTTAAACATTTAAAACCGTTAGAGTAAAGAATATGTTTTTGGCAACTCAACGATTTGTTGGTTTTACTTAAGTTGTTTAAACTAGTATCTACTTCCATTTCAATATCTTCTATTTGTCCATTGAGTAAAAACTGGTTGTTGGATCCATTTATACTTGTGTGATTTATTTCTTCACAATGAGTAGTAGAAGATTTGACCAAAGATTTTGTTGATTGAATAACGCTTGTTTGGTTCTCGTTGTAATGGTAACGTATTTCTGAATCAGTACCATTCACCATTTCAACAAACTGCCTACATTTCAGAGCAAACATAAGGTTCGTATCTTTCTCGAGCAAACCAGGATACAAGTTGTTTGTTACATTGATAGCTTCTCCCATGCGCCCTGACAGAATTAGCTTCAGGATTTCTGTGAGAAATTCGAGCAAATGTTTTATTTTTAATTAATTAATTATTTATTTACTTATATAAAAAGCTTGAAGTTGAATAAAGAGTAACTATGTATACGCTAATAACTATTTCAAAGTTTTAGATATGTTTTATGTTTTTTAAACGTCATTTCCCTAAAACGTTACACTAACACATGGAAATAAAGAATATAAAGTAGCTTTGTAATAACTATCAGGGTAGGCCAATGCAACGTTTTTTTTGTATTACGGTTATCTAGTTTGTTATATGCTGTGACATCATATGTCGTATACTTGATATACTGACTACTTCAAACACCTAGCTACAGTCCGAAAGTATTAAAAGTAAGTGCTTAGCGATCTAAAATATGAAGCTGTGTACTTGCTTCTGCGATAGAATGACCTGCAAGTTAATTATTTTTGAAAAAACCTGCTCCTACAAAACTTGAACAACGTGTGAAATTTCTAGGCAGTTTTATTAAATGTTTATCTTTGAATATCAACTTGCGCTAATGCACATACGAATTTGAACGATCAGAAATAACAAAATCCATTGCCATCAAATGTTGATTGTCTTAGGTACTACAATTAATTTTGTGATAATTAAAAAACTAAGTTAAGCTTAGATTAGTTGCATAAGCCCTCAACTGAACGTGTTCTTTAACACCAGATTGCACAAACTCCTTTCATCGCTGTGGTTAACCATGGAAGATCTTGCAACTGCATTAGTGCAAGCAGCAACTGTCTAACAATTATAGAAGTAATTTAAGTAAAAAAAAATAAAAGCTGTTCAAGATATTATAAGCATGAATACAATATGAACAATTGGGATTATTGTACAATTCAAATTTTATACAATTTACGTAAGCCATACAAGACAGAAATTAGTTGTTTGTAAAATTGTAATTGTTCGAGTACCAGTCATTTTTCCGATGGTTTGAATTATCGAAATCCAAAGCACCGAATATCGTAAGACCAAAGTTATTTTTAAAAAAACTTATTTTCCATGTGTGTAATTAATAAACAAGCATCTAACCGAACATTTAATTAGTCGAATATGGTTTAAACGAATTTCCATGTATCCAAGAATTCATCTTGTCCGAAGGTTAACTTGTGAAATGCCTGTTTTTCCGAAGGTTCGTTAAACCGAAAATCCGTTAAGCGAAAAATAAATTATCTAAGTACCATTTTACCAAAGACACAATTATCTGAAAACTTGAAAAACGAATTATTAACGTTCAAAATGATGTAATACAACTAATAAAATAAGTTATAGACCATAAAAGTTGCCTGAGGCAAATTATTATTAAAACCTCAGCGACACAGTTACTTTTGAGGGAAAGGAACATAATTGTGTACTTTTTTTAGCCTGGGTGCACACTTTACTAGGAAAAAAGGTAAGATAATAATTTATCATGTTGGCATAAATTATTTTAATGAGAATAATTATTTGTCGAAAAAAAATTTTTTTCTCGTGCTCACTTAGCTCTAAGAAATCTTTTTGTGAAATATATGCAAAATGAAAAACAGCTTATAACGCATTAGTTTACACCCTACCATGCGTAACGATATTTGAATCGGGTGCATTTATATAAAAGTGTATGTTCTTGTTAAAAACAGTAAATAAAAATGTATACACTGCTTTCAATACAAATTGATACTAATACATACGCTTTTTTACATTAATATATGGCATAAAAACGCAGAGGAAGCTGTAAAAAATTTTTTTTGTTCTAGACATACATAATAGAATGGGACAACTTTGATGTACCGTCTGTTTTCCTTGTAGGTCATAAAATGTAATTAGCTTTGTATAGGAGATAATCTTTTGTCAAATCAACTGAGACCGTATATATTTATATATATATATTTCC